TGCCAATCTTTCCTCAGTCCTCTGCCATCTGCCTTTCTTATACCATACTACATCTGCTCCATCAAGGCCTCTAACAATATAATTGCCAAATCCAGTGGATAAACATAATCTCGTATTGCTCTCTAGCTCAGTGTACTCTTTAACCTTGTGACCCCCTTTCAGTGCCTTTGATGACACCAGCAAGGTTCCATTCTATTCCCCAATCATTTCTCTTCTTACCTCTATGCCAGAACACCTTTCCCCACTTGCTTCTTAGCTGCTGTTTATTCATTCACCTGTAGTAAGCTAGGAGGTGGACCTTTAGAACAGAGTGTGTTCTAGCCTTGCTAATCACCATCACCCCAGTGCTTAGACTGCTCTCCACACACAGAGACCTTCCTTTCAGAACTGCTGAATGTTGGAAACACTGGTCATCAGGGCAGCATCTCTGTCCTTGCCCAGAGAGGCAGACAATTACACGAAGATGACAATAAAATATAGCAAGAATGATGATGCCAGGAGCCATGAGAGAATGAGTAGGATGGGGACATGCCTAAGTCTGCCAACACTGAGTTGTCCTGCTGGTCTCAGCTTCAAATGGAAGCTGAGTATCAGTATGGGACTGTGATCTTATCCTAGCTATCCTCAAATGATAAACACTTTGTAATGTCCCACCACTATGCCCAGTTACCAAGCTGAATACCCAGCAGAACTCTCGATTCCTCCTGTCTGACACACATCCAAACAACAGCCAAGTGTCCTAGCTTGGTTTCCATTGCTGTGATAAACATCATGACCAATAGCAACTTAGAGGAAATCATTCATTTTAGCTTACAGTCCATTATGAAGGGGACTCAGGGCGGGAACTGAAGGCAGAAACTGAAGCAGAGCCCTTGAAGGAATTCTTTTTACTGGCCTGTTTCTCCTGGCTTTCTTAGTTCACACTCTTACACACCCATGGATGGTGGAACATCACCTTCCTGGTGATGGAAGCAGCCACTGTAGGCTGCGTTCTTCTGCATCAATCCTCAATCAAGAAAATTACCCTGCAGGCTTGTCTATCGATCAGTTTGATGAGTACATTTTCTCGCCTGAAGTTTTCATCTTTTCAGATGACTCCATTGTGTGTCAAGTTGAAAACAAAACCAAACAAAACCAAACCAAGCCTAGCCAGCATACAGAGCACAGCTGACCTGCCTTGTCAGTGTTTGGTGGTTCCCTGTTCCATTACCGCAGCTGTCTCCCTTTGGTTATTACAATGTTCTACAATGGTTTTAGCCTCTAGTTTCTCTTCTCTAGTACATTTTCTATACCTCTAAGAGTAAAAGAAGATTATCTCACTAGCCTGTTTAAAAGTCTTCTTTGGTTAAAATCCAAATATCCAGGCACAGAATTTAGTGACCTGCTTCTGCTTTATGCTCACCGTCATCTCGTCCCTGGATGTCTACCATGCACAGTACTGCTGAACCATCAACACCATGGCGGATACCATGGCAGGTTCCACTCCTCTTCATCGTTGCACCCCACTCATTAAAACTTCCTCTGGATGTGGCCAGGCAGTGGTGGCACACGCCTTTAATCCCAGCACTCAGGAGGCAGAGGCAGGCAGATCTTCAAGTTCAAGGCTAGCCTGGTCTATGAAGTGAATCCCAGGACAGCCAAGGCTACAGAGAGAAACCCTGTCTCAGCAAAAACAAAACAAACAGACAAATGAAAAACAAAACACAAATGACTTCCTCTAAATGCATTGATCAAAATTTTAAACATTCTGCATGAGTAACTCTTAATTCTTCTGCCACTGTTTGTATAGATGCGAGCAGGCAAATCAGTCAGTGTAGCTAATATATCACAAACACAGAGAATTGAATCCTAGTCTAAGGATCATAGTCTATAGCTCTAAAATTTCCTGTGAGACCTGCCCTCACCTTACTTCATCATGGTGTCTATCAACTGGCAACTTCTTACCCATTTTTGAATGTCTATGATACTCCCCTTCCTCCCCAGAGCTGATTACTCACTGCCCAGCAATGCTGTAGTAGCTGGTCATAATCCTATCAGTACATTTATCACACTCTTGTATGCACATTTAGGGATGCACTCAGTCCACACAGTGATCAGGTTTCATATATATGAGAATTACCCTGGGCTATGGAAATTCCCACATTTATTTCCTGATCCATCCTGTCATTCACCGTTACCTCATTCTTGTTTCTTGTTACCGATTTAGCTGTACATACACACACACACACACACACACACACACACACACACACACCTCTCTACCTTAGTCCTTTTGATTGACTCATTGTTTGCCAACCTTGCCAAACTTCCTTTTTCCACAAAAGCTTAGTCTGAACATAGCACTGGGCCCCATCAGCCAGCTCTGGACAGTGACTATTCAGGCAACCCTAGATGAGGTTAACCACCCCACTAGCCTGGGACACTCCACCTTTACTTGGTTCAGAGCTCTGGGATCATTCAGCACCACTTAAGCCTTCTCTATTTTCAGTTCCCAGCTGACTTGTTCTCTCTGCCACATCCTTTTTTTTTTTTTTTTTTTTTAAATCTCAAAGCTTCCATCTACTCTTGGTGTCGTGTTCATATTTCCGATTTGCCCTGGCTTTCTAGTTCTCTCTATGCCTCGATGCTTCTAACTGATGAATTCTGTATATGTTTCTAATTCCAGCTTCCAGGAATAGAGGCCTAATGTGTCCCGAAGGCATCTTATCTCGAAGCCTTTACTACTGCCATCCTATGCACTGGTAGGCCTTGAGTCCAATCAGTTATGACAATGGGCACAAGGTCAAATCATGCAAACCTTGGTCACCGAGCCTGCCCCTTCAGCAGAGGCTGCAAGTGAGGTGTTTCCCCTTTAAAATGATGTGGGCATGTCCATGATTAGGGTATAAAGTAACTTAGATTAATGGGTCTTTAATAATTTTATTATAGATTTTTCTTGAAAATCTGGTGAAAGGTATAGCTCTTCCTCTAGGGAAAGCAATCTCTTGTGCAGAAAACTTCACACATAACTTTAAGATCTTAAATAATCCTATTCCTATCTACAATGCCCCACCCATATCTGTGTGAAGTCTATTCACGGAGCTCCTCGAGGGTAGACTATATTCACACTTGTGTTTGCATTTGCAGATCCCAGAACAATGCTTGGCGCATAGTAGGTTCTCCGATGGAATCAAAGGAATAAGTTGACATTTTAGTTTATTCATTAAGTCTGAACAGGTTATTCTGGAAAACAAAGAGACTAGGGAATTTGGATTTTTTAAAAATTATTTATTTTGTTATTAATTATGGGGGGCACTCACCTTAACACACATGTGGAGATCGAAGGCCAACATTTAGAAATTGGTTTTCTTTTTTCACTATTTGGGTTCCAGGGACCAAGCTCAGGTTATTGGGCTTGGAGGATGCACCCTTACCCTCTGAGCCGCCTCTCTGTCCCCAGCGGTTCGATTTGGTACAGAAGTATTAGTAAGTCACTTTGTTTCTTTTATTGTGTGATGTTTTGTTCTGAAGTAAGCAGTTAATCAGAATTGCACATCAGAAAAATGTGTTTTTATTGATTAAATGTGTTTTTATTGGAGGGCAAAGGTCCAGTTATGAAATCAATGGAAAAAGTGGAGACGTAAACTAGATCCATGAGAGATGTAGAGGAAGAAGGACAGGTGGGTTCAAAACAGTAAAACTGAAGTTCCAAGGCCTTGACTTAAAAAAAAATCATGGAAGAAAGACGTTTTTTAAAAATAAAACCATGATGCTAGTGTTTTCAAATAAGGAAATGGAGTAATGGTCACATTGTCTGCAGAAATGGAAATGGGACGGGTCTAATTATTTCTTGAATTATTGTTGGAAACACAAATGTGTTTGATTTGGTTTGGATTTTAGTTTCCTTATGACACAAGATCCTACTCTGTAACCCAAGCCGGTCTGGAATTCACTCTGTAGCCCACAGGCTGGCCTCAGCCTTGCAGTAGTCTGCCTGCCTCAGCCTTGGACATGCTGAGATTACAGGCAAGGGCCACCATGTCTGACTTCAAGGGTTCCTAATCAAGTGAGCTGTGAGTCTGAAGTAATGTTGAAATTGGAGATGAGGATTTGGTCTTATGCACCCAGGAGTCAGCAGCAAAAGCTGTGAGCAGAAACCAGGAAGCATTCAAACAATGCCCTATTCACATCTACTCTGCAGTGTTTTGGGGTCCGCTTAAGGGCATCACTCTATGTGATAGACGTTCTACGGGCCTTCACTAACTAGTAAAGGTAGCATGGCTTGTTTATAGATGAGGAAATGGAAGCTCAGGGCCAGGGGGTCTTTCCAAAAGTACTGCACTGATGTTATGGACCTAGGATTAGAATTTGTAAGTGAAGTGCTTCATACAATTCCTAACTTTATTCTGCAATAGTTTTCTTAACTGTCTGTCATTTTAAAACTTGAGAGCAGGGTGAAAATTATCCCTAGACAATAATCACCAATATTCTGTTGGCAATAATCACTGCTGTTAGGTAGGCCAGGTAGTGCACACCTATAATCCAGCTCTTGGGATGCCGGGGTAGGAGGGTCCTAAGTTTGAGGCTAGCCTGTGCTACATAGAGAGTCAAAGTTAGCTTCAGCTACATGGGAATACCATGTGTCAGAAAAATTTAAAAATCACCACTGTTTATTAAATATCTTCAGTGTAGCAGGAGAGTTCCGGCTCCTAGGGACCTTCTTGATGAGCATGACCCACATTCTTTTTAAAGGGACCTTTCTGCTTATCTAACCTGAACTGCAAACGGACACATGCACGGAAAAGAGCTAGGGGCATGGGCCGACTTCCCCCAAAGCCAAAAATGTTGAGATTCCCAGGAAAGAGGGACAGAGAGACCTGTTGAGTCCCAGGGACTACAAACGGAGAGCCCAGCCCGAGTCTAGAGCTCCGACGTGAGGACAGGCCGAGACCTGCGTTGGGGCGGGGGCAGGCGCGGCCTGAGTCAGGCTGAGGGGCGGGACCCGGACCGGGAGCCACTCCTGTCCCAGCCACCACCAGCCTCAGTCGCAGCCGGATCTCGCTCCTCAACTTGGTAAGCATAACTTTTGAACTTCTTAGATTTTTTTTCTTTTTTAATGAAAACAACAAAGGACTACACATGCTCTTGGCTGGGTGTATCTTGGACTAACATGTGGACGTGGCAGAAAATGAATCGGGAAGATGAAACAGTGTGGGAGGCAATTAGAGACGAGTGGAGGGCACGACGAAGCCCTAAAATTACACCCTAATGACAGCCTGGGGGAAGAAACGGGGATCTTTTGTTTTCCCAGGAAAGATATGGTCTAGGGCTGGGTGCGGCTGCCTGACTGGCCGGTGCCGGGGCTGGGTGCGGCCGCTAGAGTCCCCGGGCCGTGCGTCCCTGAACCCAGCCGGCAACGGGGACCTTGGCAGGAAGCTGTCAACTCAGAGAAGGCCGGGAAACCCGCCAGAGAGCTGCAGACTCGGTGAGAATTTGGGGCAGCGTCGCTAGGCGTTCGTGAAGACCAGAGAGGAAGCAGTTCAGAACGTAGCCTTCCTGAATTCTGGGGAGCTGCCGGCAAACAGCCAAGACACACAGAGGGACAGAGAAAGTGGGGTCTGTTGCAGTCATTGAAACCACAGACAGGAATGTGGGAGGAGGCCAGTCCCTCCCAGCCAGCTTTCCTCTCCCCCTTACCCCACTCCCCGCCATCTTTTTTAGCCACTCCCTACATCATCTGCCTGTCTCCTACCTGCTGCTTCTGTCCCCCTCGGTTTTTTTTTAAATGACATTTCTACTAATTCACCTCCCCAAGTCTACCCCTTCCTTTGTCTCTTCAAAGCGGATCAGCAAACTTTGGAGAGAGGCCCAAGTGGGTGTCTGCCCTAGTCCCAAACTACTCATAGATTTTATGTTTTTAAATGGTTGGAAGACAGTCAAAAGAAAATGATCCCATGAAAATGACATGAAAATCTAATGTATAAAGTTTACAGGCATTGCCACACCCTTTTACTTTATGTATCGGCACCCTTGTTGTCTGGCTATGGCAAAAGAATGACACGATCCTTTAGAGCATAAAGAGCTAAAAATATCCACAGCTGTCCCTTTATTACAAACAACAGCAACAAAAAGCGTGCGGACCCCTGCTTTGGCGAGTCAGTCTTTCATCACGCCCTACTTATTCTTTCCTTCCGCTTTTCATTACACAGGGTACCTAAGAGCCCAGCACCAACAGGTTGTAAGGTGGAGGGAGATGGATGAGACCCTGAATGCTCTGAGGAAGAGTTTTGGTGCTGATTGAGAAAGAAATAGTTGGTGTAGTTACCTCCTTTTCACGTCATTCTGTCAAGGGATTCTTCCCTGGAACGCTGGATGTGTAGGGTGTGTTTAAAAAGGATCTCCCTCTGTCCTTTCACAGGGATTTTTTTCCCTTGCTGTGACTGTTCCCATCATGCTAAAGGGCAGTGGTGTGACCAATGCCCTCTCTTTCAGCCACTGCCCCACATGGGCAAAACCTTCCCATCCCAGCACTCTATTCTAAGGGAAAGAGGAAGGAAGCATCTGTAGGTGTGGAAAACAGTCATGAAGATGGGCTCCTCAGCCTGGAACCTTCTCCCCAGGCTAGTGTGCCCTCCACACCAACTCTCCTGCTATCATGTGACACACTAATAATATGGTGGATTATTAGAGATTTCAGTTCTGATAGGAGGATCATGTTGTGTAAGCACTTGTTTCTAGGCTGTGGCATTTGGGTTTTTTGTTTTGTTTTTTGTTTGTTTGTTTGTTTGTTTGTTTTTTGTTTTGCCCTGAATTTACCAACACTTTTCTTTCCTTCAGTAAACGCTCCCTTTCAGGGAGACTAAATCTCCAACATTGTGACTCTTTAGAAAGAATTTCTCTCCAGAAGAAGGTTCAGGTACTCTGGACATTCCTAGGTGCAATGAGACACAGCAGTGCAATTTTGATAATAAGCTGCCTAAAGTTAGGTGTTAGGAAGCGAGACCAGAGGTGGTGAGGCTCCCAACTTTTGTCATCTTTAGCATGTACTATTGCACAGCCCGAAAGCTTCCAACTTCCCTACCCAAGAAGTCTGTCCTAGAGAGCAGTCAAAAACTAAATACTAAGTTCCATTTGTTAACACGCATACAAATCATAGTTAACAACATGCGAGAAAGTTTCAGGGTGTGGTTGGCAGGGTCTCGGAAATCCTGCAGTTGCACTTCTACCCACCAGGGGGAGCACTACAGCTCTGGCTTCTGGCCTCAGATCTCAACTGGAATGACTCAACTCAGTAGAATTTCCTTTAGAAATTCTGCTGTGAGAAAAGCAGAGTCTGGCACAGAACTTGAATAATGCTCTTCCTGGTGCAACCACAGCTTTGGTTTAACTCTGTATTAAGAAATTCCAGCCACCATTCCTTTGGAAATGAATGGCTCTTGGATGAAACACAGGCAGAAGTCTGTAGAAAGGAACCTGGTAGCCGAGAGTCTAGGGGTGTCGATACCCTGCTAGTTGCCGTCTCATACCTTAGTTCTACACAAGTAAAATTAATGCCGTCTAGATGTCTGCTTTACACACACACAGTACATCTATAGTTTTGTAAGGACCCAGGAAGAGGACCCCATCTCAAGTCCCAATTAGCGCGCACCCAAGGAGACACGAGAGACTGACTTGATGCAATGGCAAAAGGCAGTTTACTAACAAGGGCCCTTGGATCGAAACTCATCCCACGCAGGGGAGAGAATTTCGATCAAGACCCCAGGAAGTTTAGAACTTTTATAGGGGGAGGGACAAGGGGGAAGGGAAAAGTGGGAAATTCTGGCACGATTACATATGATTGGATATTTCAAACATCAGCACTTTGCGTAAGCAATCATTTTGACAGGTTGGATGGCCCACTATTTTTGACCATGAAGCCTCAGACCTTCTAGGATAAACACCAGGTGGCCCATTACTCACTTGGGCATGTTTAGACTGGTCAAGATATGTCTTTGGTTGTTTCTACATTTCTGGTCACCACATCCCTAGAGGGGCTTGATATTTTTATTATGGCTACTCTCAGTAAGCTCTTTGCCAAGTTGTTTGTGGTCTCTGCTGAGCTGTTTTAATTTTTACCCTTACAGTTTCACTACATAGCCCAGGTTAACCCAAACTCTTGATCCTCCAAGGGTATATGCACTTCCACATCTTGCTGAATACACTTTTGAACATCTAAAATGTCCTCCCCTCACTCCCAGTGCACGATTACAGATGTGCTGTCCATTTTCTGTAGAGGAATTCATGAGTATAATTTTAATGGCATCTCATTCGTCACAGTAGCCTCTCCATGCTCTTGGGGAATAGATCACTGTAATCTCCCTCCGAAGTTCAGAATATGTGTGTGCAGATTCCTATATTCATATGTACAGGTTGTTCATATATTTTCTCACACTGTCTAAGAATATCAGAAAGTTCTCCCTTGTCTGAGTCATCTAGTTTTTAAGCTCTCGGGGTTCATGTGGAATACCTTACTGCATGCACTGGAGCTATGAAAAAAAGCTCACAGAATGTAATTTTCTATTCACCTCTCTGGTCCCTGATAAATGAACAAGACTTTAAGAAACTGCTTCAACCACAGAGGCACTGTGATCCTCTGGCACACTCTATTCTCTAGCCTTCTTAATTCTCAGAAATATTATATTAGAATAAAGAAAATAAAGCTTGAATTATAGTTCAAAATAAGAAAAGAATGCAGTAGGAGCAAAGAAAAATATAGAAAAATAGTATACAGCGATTAGACCAATATTTACATTACATGTAAGTGGCTCAAAACTAAATACCACATGACTCTATATGCTAGAAAACATTTTTTTTGGGGGGGGGTTTCAAGACAGGGTTTCTCTGTGTAGCTCTGGCTGTCCTGGAACTCACTCTGTAGACCAGGCTAACCTCGAACTCTTGAACTCAGAAATCCGCCTGCCTCTGCCTCCCAAGTGCTGGGATTAAAGGCGTGCGCCACCACCGCCCGGCTCTAGAAAACATGTTAAATATAAACATACATGTATATTTAAATCAAGAAAATAGAATGAAAAGGTATATGTTGTTAACACTCAACCCAAGAAAACTGGGTGAACTCTGCTTATTAGGTAAAGTAATTCTCAAAATATTTTTAACCTGAACCCTGTATTTTTTTATTCTTCAAAGGCAAAAATGCCTACAGAGACTGAGAGATGCATCGAATCCCTGATTGCTGTTTTCCAAAAGTACAGTGGGAAGGATGGAAACAGCTGCTATCTCTCCAAAACTGAGTTCCTCTCCTTCATGAAAACGGAGCTGGCCGCCTTCACGAAGGTACCTGACCCAGCCCTCATATCCTGACTGCTTACTGCACTAAACAGGAGCCTGGAAGAATGACCTTGTATGAAAGATCCTTACTCTGGGCCATGGGATAACGTTCTATATTCTCATTACTAATGCCACCAGTCACATGCTTGTACCAAACATCCTACTCACTTGAAGTACGGCACATGACTTTCTAAATTCATCTAACTGTACATGTAGAGAGTGGCTGCGAGTGTGTATTATAGGATATTTGAACCTGCTTCTAGTTACGGTGTGGCTCAGCCCTTAGCACACACCTTTAATCCTTGAGAAGAGAGAGGAAAGGGAAGCTACTTAAGGGAGAGACAGACAGTACAAGAAGAGAGTACAGTGCAGGAATACAGTAGAGTTCATGGGGAGCAGGACAGTAGAGCCGAGGAAAGTGGAGCAGCACAGAGGGAGGAGGAGGCAGTTTTACTACTATAGTTGTACAGAAACAAGTTGCACGAGAGAACAAGCTAGACACAGGTAAAGATAGAACAAGAGAATGAGAAGGAGCCAGAAAAGATTTCTAGATTTAGTTTGAGGCCAAGCAGAGCAATTCAGAAGCAGAGAGAAAAGCTAAGTTGAATAAGTCAACTGGGAGAGAAGTTTGAACCAGGACAGTTGAGTTGACCAGCCAGGTAGAGCTCAGAAAGAGCTAGAAAGGGTGAGCTTATTGAGAAGTACATCTCAGAGGCTGAAAACATTCTAGGTCTAGATAAGATTGTATGGAGGCTAGAAGCTTCCAGGACTAGGCCTAAGTTAGCAAGCTGAAGCAGTAAGCCTTCAAAATAACAGTTACATCAAGCAAATAAAAGTTACTGTTAGGTGTGTGTGTGTGTATTGGAGATAGTGGAGAATGAAGCTTCTTAGGCAGGACCTGGAGCTTTCTACCTGAAACCACTCACTTCTATGGGAGTTGCATGCAACACTTTTCCATAGTTGAATAACCCTTAATATCACAGAAAGAACATAGGACAAGGAGCAAAGTCTGGGTTTGTGTCCAGGTCTGCTGCTAAACCAGGTCACTATCAATAACCCCTTTCCTGGACTTTATGCTCCATTGAGAATAAAATGTGGCAGCATATTCAGAAGCACAGAAGAAAGTGAAATATAAAGACCCATCATTGTTTTTGCAGAACCAGAAGGACCCGGGTGTCCTTGACCGGATGATGAAGAAGCTGGACCTCAACTGTGATGGGCAGCTAGATTTCCAAGAATTTCTCAACCTTATTGGTGGCTTAGCTGTAGCCTGCCATGAATCCTTCCTCCAGGCTTCCCAGAAGAATATCTAACCCTTTCTATTCCCTTCCAGCCACCAAGTCATCACAACCCCCACCCCCCACCATCCATACCTGTGCTGAGCCCACCACACCAACCACAACTTGCAGCCCATGCCTGCTAGAGGAAATAAAACAATGTCATTTTTTTAAATGTACACTGAGAGTCAGTAGATTTGTGTAAGAGAGTGTGAACAGGAAGTTGGTAGCAGAAGCTGCCTAGCAAACAGTGCAGATGCCACTTGGGTGTGCACAAAGTCATGACCAATGAATAAGGAACCAGAACCAGCTCAGATTTCTCAGGTTGCTGCTCAGAGGCCATTTGTCATCACCATTCACTGATTAAATGTCTATAGGCCCGGTTGAGGATACAGTCAGAAAGCCAAGGTCCTGCCTTTGATTTCTAGTGAGGAAGAGAACTAGAACACAGGATTCTCCCCCATGAAGACAGATGTCCCAGGAAGGAAGGAAGATGTCACTGTGGCTGGATAGTGTGCTGCTGATATATGAAAGACAGAGGAGCAAGCATTTCCAGGATGAAGAGGGCAGTTCAGGAGAGGGAGCTGGGAAGGGGAAGGGCTGTCAGTGTTTCATGTTTGGTATGGACTTCCTCACCTGTGACTGTCCTTAGCTGATATGAAGTCTTCAGTTTCTAAGCCCCCTGACAAAGCAGTATAGAGAAGGCCTGGAAGGTGAGGAGCTAGGAGATAACACATTAGAGAAAAATGAGGAGAGAGAAGCAGGCTGTAGAAGAATATTGTCCTTCTCAAGAAGTTAAGCAGAAAGCAGACCAGACTGTTTATGAGGTTGTTTTGGTGGGTAAAGATCCAAAATGAAAGTCAGTGCTTCAGGCTAACAAGTACCATGTTTTTTAGGTGTATAAGTATAGCTTCCTCTGAAGGACCTTCTTAATTGGCTAGCAGCATATGAATAGGGGAGGGAGTCTGAAACCTGTAAAGGTCTCCATATTCCTTTTGTAGGTCAAGTCCACTCTGTTGTTTTTTTTTTTTAAAAAAAAAACACAAAACAAAACATTAACAACAAAACCCTAACATGACCCCATCATGTCTTCATCAGTGAAGAGGTGGAAAAGTACCAAGCATATTAAGGTAATGCTGGTCTGTTGGCTATTCTACAAGAAATCAGTTGCTCCCTTTAAGTCCTTGGGACTCAAGGAAACTAAATGGAAGATCGTTACTTGCCCAGTGACATCACCTTCTGATAAGAACTAAGACCAGTTGGTATCAACCTGCTTGAAGATTCCAACAATCAACCTTTTGGAGTGCCTGCTACCTACAGAGAGAGTAGTAGAGAGATGCTGGGGGAGGGGTTGTTTTGACGGAGCTGATGAGTTCAGGAATGTGCTGTTTGGAGTGTGCCATTGGGTTAGGTACCAGTGACCACTTACATCTCCTGACCTGGTTCTGACACTTGTGCTTCAAAACTGCCTCCTAGACCTCCTTCATATAAAACAATACACAGGGGCTGGAGAGATGGCTCAGCGGTTAAGAGCACTGACTGCTCTTCCAGAGGTCCTGAGTTCAAATCCCAGCAACCACATGGTGGCTCACAACCATCCGTAATGAGATTGAATGCCCTCTTCTGGTGTATCTGAAGACAACTACAGTGTACTCATAAATAAAATAAATAAATTTAAAAAAATAAACTAAAAATAAAACAATACCCAGAGCTTCTGCTTTGTGTATTCACAAATTAAGCAAATGTTAACTTGAACAGTAGGACCCTGTTCATAGTACCTTACATAAATAGGAGTATTTTTCAGGGGGTTTCTTAACACCCCCTTTTGCTCCCAAATAATTACAGGGGCTTTCTACACTCACTTAGCTCATATAGCTTCCAAATAAAAGACACAGAGACTGGTATTTTTATTAACAAGCTGCTGGTACTCTATGCTGGGCAGATTCTAAGCTATTCTAACCCTCTAAGGCTATTTTAATACCCAGACAAATGTCCCAGTACTGACATCTCAGTCTTGCCTTGCCTTGCTCTGCTCCATGTATGTCCTCTTGACTGCTTGTTAAAATAATGTTTAAATCAGTTTTTCTTTTCCATTCCTGCTGGATGACTCTGGGTCTATTTATTTATTATTAAATGTTTTAACTGTAAGCTTTGGCTCATTCCCTGGCTAGCTCATAACTCACTTAACCCATTTAAACTATTCTGCCTACCACTTGGTTAGTTACCTTCCCTCCATCACAGCCTGCTTGTTTCTTTGCATCTCCACAGTGTCTCCCCAAGTTCATCTACTTGCTGGTTTACATCTGTCTCCCCATGGCTTTCTCCCACTTTTCTTCCTAGTGTCTTCCTTTATTCTCTCACCATTTCCCAGAATCCTCTATCTTTCTACCAGTGTTCCACTTCCTATTTCCTGCCTCAGCTCATTGGCCTTCAGCTTTTTTATTGACAGGTGATGCTTATAAGAGATTCTCTCTATAGCTGCTCTCTCATCATGACCTTATGGTGAATCCTCCTGGTGTGTCCACATGGTCTCTCCACACCTTCTCTTTGTGCCCCTCTCTCTACCTACCCCTCACTGGGATCTGATGTCCTTCCTCTGCTGTCCTCTCCTGTCCAGTTGTAGGCTTATCAGCTCTTTATTAACCAACCAGAGATGATGAAAAACAGTTTGTACATAACATTGGGACTGGAGATGCTTGACCATCACCCATGCAGTAACCAGATGCCTGGGCACGAACTTACTGTCTTACTTCAGTTCATCCTCTCCACTGGCCTCATTTCAGCCAATGACACATAGTGGCCCCACTCAAGGGATTGAAATCCTCTTCAGTCTCTTTTTCTTCATGCCTTGCTTCCCCATCAGATCCCCAACCCATTAAGGTTCTCCCAGATTACTTCTTGATTCCACTCTGGACCCAGATCATCATCACCTCTTGTCTGATAGTGTGGTGCGGTGCTCGCGCCTAGGGATCGCTGCAGGATACCGGGGTCAGCGGCGGCGGCTGGCGTCAGCTCCAGGCCGGGCCAGCAAGGGTGGGCAAGCGGCCTCCGGGGTCGGGGGCGTGGAAGGAACCAGCGGAGCCGGCCCAGGGCCTTCAGCAACCGACGGGGCAGGGCTCGCTCCACAGCGGCCTCTGGTCGCCCAAAAACCGGAGCGGGACCTCCGTCCCAGCCCCCGAAAGCGAGAAAGTGTTATCAGCTCTTTTAGTTCAGCTTGCTCTTCCACTAAGGGGAGAGGAGAGCGTTGTCCTTTGAAGTGCACGACTGGCGACTGGAGAGGAAACGCGAAAACACTCCGACAGCAGGAGACCTTGTACCACACAGCAGTAGTAGTTTAATGTGAGCTCTGGAATTATATATATACAGTTTCGGGGAAAGAACAGGTAGCCCCTATTGGTTTGGCTTGGGTGTTTGAGGATGCCTTATTTGCATGGAGGTGCTATCCTACGTGATAAGAGTCACGGGTCTCTTTGTGGGAAGTGGAAGCTAAGAGGGCCATCAGCGTGGGAATTCTGAAGCAACCTCCCGTCCTGTGACCCTTTCCAGGCCGAGGTTTCCGGGGCTTCGAAGATTTCTACCAAGCTTTCTGGCTTTCTCATAGCCCACTGCCCCACATGATAGGACAATAGCTTCTCAGCTGGTCCATGCACTGCCTTTGCTCTTCCTGCAGCATTTCATCAGGTTGCTGCCCATCTGAAGGCCTTGGGAGGCTTCAGTGCTTTGGGCATGCAGTGCTGTGTACTGTCCACTCCTCTTGGTTTACTACCTCTTCTTGCCTTTCTTGCTTCCTATTTGCTGCTTCCAGCCCACTAAATTTCAACACGTTGAACTTAAAGAGTTCCCTCCAAGTACTGGCTGTTCCTTGCCGTGTCTGTGTTCTGTTATCCAACCTCATCATTAAACCTTATGCCCCAGCCTAAGTGGCCATTTTCTTCCCACAAGCAAACTTATTTCTTCTCTACACCTTCATTACTTTATGGCTGACTCTTCCCTGATACATGTAGCCATCTCTCTACTCCCTCTGTCTAAAAATGTAGACATGTCAAGCTCAGTCACCTGAATTCAATTCCCAAGACCCACATGGTAGAAGGAGAGAATTGACTCCTGCAAGTTGCCCTCTGACCTCCACACCAATTCAGTTGAAATGGGTACACATTCACACAGTTAAAAAATTTCTTTTAAAAGTATATTTGTCACTGATCTCAATCTTTTAAAGTCCTTTGTACTTGCTTGTTGGGCCGTGGAAGGATATCTTGGTTCTTGGCTGGGCATGGGCCTTGAACCCCGACTCCAATGGAGAAAACTTCAAGACAGCAAAACATTGAGTCTGAGGCATAGTTATTACTGATAACTCATATAGTTATATAATGAAAAAGAGCAGGTGGGACAAAAAGAAATATAAAATACACAGTTTGGAGAGAAACGGAGTGCTAAGAAACTGAACATAGCCAAGGCATGTGCTGAAAGAGGCTGTAATTATTAAGGAGAGGCCACTAGTTCTTCTTGGAACATTGGGAAGAGTGTGGCCTCAGGGTAAGACTTCACCCAGCTGAGATTTTCAAAGGGGGTTGCTAAAACATAAAAGCTGGTGCATTTAATGTAGTCAGAGGAAGTGATGGTCCATGCTAAGTTGGCAGCCATACTTGCTCACCCATGTGATGCTGGCTTTGAAGACATGAAAGATATAAGAGTGAAGAGGTCATGAATCTTCTTCCATGGTTTCAGAGAGCCACTGAGGCCAGCAGTGTGTGGCAGGGTTGGAGTCCATGTGAGGCCATTAAAGGCCATTGTGGTGAGGTTGTAAAAGTGAAGCCTTGGTTGAAGTGGAGATTCCAAGATGTCAGAGCTGTAAGACATCCAACAAGGAGAGCTATATGCAGAGAGTAGAATAAGGTCAAGAGAGATTACAGGCAGCAAAGCTGCAGGGTGCAGCAATATAAGCCCTTTGAAACTAAAGTCCCAGACAAAGAGCTACAGGATTTGGTGCTTGCTCTAGTGAGTTTTAGTCTTACTTTGGTCCAGTATTCCCCTACTATGCCTCTTTCCCTCCCTTTCTGAATAGGAAAATATATTATGTGCCATTATATGTTGGAAGTATACAATTTGATTTTTGATTTTACAGGAGGTCACAGTTAAGAAATTACCTTAAACTCAAAAGGGTTATTTAAAAACAAAAACCAAAAAATTAGTTATAATTACTAAATATGGAGACTTGGAAATTTGATTCAAATGCAATTTTCATTATGATAAGGGCATGATCCTATTAGGATCATGGATTAGTGTATGGTAATTTAAATGAAAAGTATACTTCATAGTCCTGTGTTGTATTTGGTTCTCTGTTGGTGGCAATGTTTGAAAGGTTATAGAACTGAAAAAATGCAGTCTTGCTGGAGGAAGTCTTTCACTATCGAGATGTAATGTCTCACTCAGCTTTCTGCTCCTGCTGCCATGCCTCCCAGCTATGATGGACTCTTACTTTCTGGAACCATAAGCCAAAATCAATGCTTCTGTCTATAAGTTGCTTTTATTCGTGGTATTTTATCATAGCAACAAAAAGCAACTGGTATACATACCATCTTTCTTTGTCTACACTGTTAGACACTACAACCAACAATGTACAGTGTTACAATTTTCCATATCCTCACCAACTTCTGTGCTTCTTTTTGTTTTCAAATAATAAACATTACTTCGTTGTGATTTTAGTCTGCCGTTCCCTGGTGTTTAAGATGTGAACATCTTTACATGCTTACTGCTTGTTTGCATGCCTTCTTTGAAAAATGTCTTTTTGAGTCCTTTCTTTTCTTTGGGTTCAAAGGATGAACTTAGGACCTCACATGTGCTATGAAAGAGATTTAACATTGATCTATGACTCCAATATCTATTTTATTCCCTTTTTAAATTAAATTTTTGTTATAATTGAGAAATATACACCCAAAGTCCTTGCCAGCATCAAAAAAAGAGTTTTAAGTGTTAATTTGCATACTAGGATATTAGAGTTTTAAAATACATGATTTGCAAGTAGTTTCCCCAATTTTGTTGGGTTGCCTTTTCACTCCTTCTCCTCTTCTTCCTCCTCTTCCTCTTCTTCTCTTTTGGCCAGAGGGTATGTTTTACTGTGTTCACAATGAAGTTCAAGGCTTAAGTTCATTGGAGATGATGGGGTAGGGAATCTCTAGTCTAGGATTTTAGGATATTTCTTTCCACTTTGCTTGCTGAGTCATATCTGTGGTTGGCAGGATTGTCTCCTATACCTCTTTTCTCTTAAACTTGACCTAATTGAAACTGACAATTTCCCCCATGCTTGTCTGCAATTTTCTTAAAAGGATCTATGAAGTCTTGCTCTGTGCCTAGACCCCTAGTACTCTATTCTTACAACAGCAAGAGAATTTGTTGTTGTTGTTTTGAAATAGTGTAGATTAGGTTGGTCTTGAATGTATGGTCCATCTGCCTCATTCTCCCTAGTGCTGGAATGAGAAGTGTACTACCATACCTAGCCAAATAGTGTTCTTTGATGCACAGAAGTGTTTACTATTGATGGAGTCTAATAGATTTAATATTTTTATTTTATTCTTTTGATGTCATATCCAAGAAACAATCACACCAAGTTCAAGCAAAGATATATAGTCATGGTTAAGATGTAGATGGTGATGGTGGGACTTCTATCTAGAATGAAGTTGGGAAGATAAAGAATGCCCCATTATGTTAGGTAGGTGCTTGAAGGAGAAAAAGGCAGCAGTTGTGCACAGATGTGAACTCTATAAACTTCAATACCTCCTTGCCAATCTACCAAATAGGATATGCCTACCAGACCAAGAGACCAATCTGAAAGGTTTTTAGCATATATATGATCAAAAGCTCAAATAAGCTCAAATCAGTACAGCAACAAAAACCCCAAATGTATAGAATATAAAAACACAAACGTATGAAGAAAAAAGGAACTAAATAAGGATGCTATAAATTAAATCATTAGGCAAATAGATACAGGCTCCTGAACTGAGTGTTCCACCACCAGTTCATGGCTCAGTACCAGTAATAAGGGAAAGACTTTTACCTCCCCACTGAGCCTAGGAAGACCCCTGTGATTTATTATACCTGCCCACCTCACAAAGACCTTATCGTATTGTCTAGTAACTTGGTGAGAGAGATGATGTGCAAACCACACCTGAGTACTAACTATGATAACGAATACTTTGATTCTGACTCTTCTTAATCTTATAAGCCTCTCCCTATAACCACTAAGGGCATTCCTAGATGGTCACAGTCAAGAAGGAATGTTGGGAGGGAGAGGCAAGTCTGCACTAGCTGGGAATGGCTATCTGAATGACCTCAGCGTCCTGGGCACATGGCCAGCTGGGGAAGAAAGAAGCCTGTACCTCCTCCTCAGTTGGGAACGAAACCAAAGATGAGCAATGTCTCTGTTTCAGAGTCACTGCCAATCACCTAGCAGCTTAGCGTCAGTGCTGTCGTGACACATCATCTAGAAGTCACCATAGTTTCTAGTAGGAATGCAGAAAAACAAACAGAAAGGAATGTTGCAAGTCCATGAACAGATGAATGCTCAGCTGAGGAAGAGTCCGAGTGTGAACGGTAGGAGTTTGTAAGGTGGTCAGTGCTAGCTCCGCCTCTCACCCCTTCTCATCAACATGCTGCTCTTGCAGGATATTTGATTACACTGTGAATATCGAGACTTTGTTGTTTACTGGGGAAAAACTGCTTTTAGTTGTGGAGTGGCTCAACCTTAGCACACACCTTTAATCCAAGAGCTTTCCACTTGGATGTTGTAAACAGGATTAAATAAAGTCAACCACAGGTCAAGAGAAAGAGCAAGCAACCAGTTGACAGGAAGCGAACATAGGATTATTAAGAAAAAAAAAACCAGAGAGTAAGTGGACAAGTTCTGAGTCCCCTCTTCCTTCCTTAACTGGAAAACAGAGATGAAATAGACACAATTTATTGATAAGTTTTTATTTTTCAAATTTTTATTATTTTTATCTTTACGTATATTGGTATTTTGCCTACATGTACGTCTGCATATTATATGCATGTATGCCTGCACATTGTGTGCATGTAGCTAGCACCTATGCACACTGGAAGAGGGCATCCAATCCCCTAGAATTGGCATTACAGATGTTCTAGCCATCTATAAGCCATCATGTGGGTTCTGAGAATCAAGCACATTGCTCTGGAAGAGTGTATCTCCCCAGTCCCCTGACCAGTTATTTTTAAATCTCCTGTCTCCTTTTATTTTAATCATAAAGATTCCTACAAAAATTTAAAGGTGCAATCTGGCTCACAGGACTCTATTGCATGTTTCCTGTTGATATTAATGGTGATAACATCATAGCTAATAACTTCCTGATCATTCATAGTGCCACTGAGGAACTCTATACATTTATTTATTTATTTATTTATTTATTTATTTATTTATTCTTGGTTTTTCTGGTTTTTCGAGACAGGGTTTCTCTGTATAGCCTCGGCTGTCCTGGAACTCACTCTGTAGACCAGGCTGGCCTCGAACTCAGAAATCCGCCTGCCTCTGCCTCCCAAGTGCTGGGATTAAAGGCGTGCACCGCCACCACTGCCCGGCAACATTTTCTGTTACTCCTCTTAAAAACCCTAAAAACTCCACCACTAATACCTGCTTTCAAATGGGGAAGCAGAGGCACCAGAATTTAGGACTTTCCCCAGGTCTCGAAGTAAAATAAGGTACAAGGTCAAGTTAATGTGATTCAGGTTAACCTGATCTTAATCAATAATCTCTTTTTTCTTGTCCTCTGTTTTCAGTAATTCCACATTTTCTACTATGTTGCCTTGATTTTGTCTTTTGTCTTTTTCTTTGTTTCCTTTAAGAGCCCTTCCCCTAACCCATCAGACAGCAATGCCTCTGCTCTAAATTCTTTCAGCATGACAGTTTGAGAAACACATCAGAGCTCACTGACACACTGTTTTGGTCCTTTCAGATCTCTTAAGTCTAGGTGAGGCCTGAGATACTGCATTTCTGTCAACTGTGACACAGTTGTGAATGCTCTGCTGCCTGTCTATGAACTCTGTTTGGAGAAACCAGATCTAGTGTTAATCCTGAGGTTCACTGGAGAAAAACCAAGTCTACCATTTTGGGCCAAATTTAAAGTAAGTTATATTAAATATTAAATATTAAATACTGACCAAGAGATGGACTTTGGTCAGGACTGTTTCCAGGAATTTCCCAGCTCAGAATAGACCTGAGCCATGTGTTACTAGGGTATATAAGGACAAACCTACAGGCCATCATACTTTCCCATGAGGCTTTGTTATTTTCCAAGAACTACAACTCCCAGCATTCCAGGAAATTATCTGGTACTTGGGCCGGTGGGGCTTACAAGTTAATTTTGAGCATTACACTAGTAGATAGACAAGTATAATTTTACCAAGCGTATTTTTAAAAATACAGATAATTATCTCTGAAGACCCCTTTTTCCTCTTGATGTTTTGATATCTTAAAAATTTTCCTAAATAAAAGCTTGTTACTCTTCTCAATCTTTTGTGCTCGCCCTCCCTCCCTCCCTCC